AGACTCCAGACCTGAACAGGTTCTGATCAGACAGATCCAGAACCCAGAACCGGACCTGTTTCTTGTTTACATCAAACTGGGTCCAAACAGGAGTTCTGACCCGTACCTGACCAGTCCGATCCCAAAGCCAGCGAACCGGTTCAGCTGCTCTGAAACCCAAACACAGACACTGTTAAAGAAAACACCAGAACCTCTGACCCGACCCGACCCGACCCGACCCATCAGAACTCAGAAGATCCAACATGATGCGTTCAATGACAGTGGGACAGCAGAACCTTCCAGCTGGTCTTAGAACTGGATGAGGGGTCAGGTCTGTGCTGGTGGTACCGGTTCTGACTGACAGGTCAGTGAACGCATCACGAGTCAGAAACAGGAAGTCCCACTCTGTTAGAGTCACTGAACGCATCATGAACTTCCTGTTAGGATCATCTGGTCCATCAGAACCAGGACATGAGGTCCACCAGGCTCGTTGGACCCGGACTCTGCAGCCCTACCTCCGGGCGGGACCACGGGCCGCTCTGGAGCCTCCCAGCCGGGCCCGGAGCCTCCCTGCTCGGACAGCGGCTCGTCGTACAGCGGTGTCCGGTCTCCGGGGTGCAGGTTCCGGCTGCCCGGGATGTCCGGCGGGGTGGTGACCCAGTGGTGCTGCTGCGGGTCGCAGGGGGCTCCGGGACGGACCGGGTATCCGGAGCCGCTCAGCGGGTCGTCACGGCCGCGGTAACCGAACCCATCGAAGCTGTCGGGCCGCCTGGAAGCCATCAGAGAGACGAAGGAACCGAACCGAACCGAGCCGACCCACTCAAAGAGAAATGATGATCGACCTTATTGATCGTATCCAAAACATCCACCTGCACCCGGAAACACTTCTTCTTCTGCACTTCCGGTAGCTGCAGGAAGCGGTGCTGCCACCTGCTGTTGACTCATGGTTTTATTTTATTTTATTTTTTAGTTCAAATGTTGAACTTTTTTAATAGAAAATATTTACAAACAAAACATGACAAAAGCATCAGATATTACAGGTTGAATTATAATTATAACATTAAACAC